AATAAAAATGCTATTTTGAAAATAAATTCCAAATTATATAATCCTACTATGACATGTCAATTTAAGCCAAAACTAAGCTAATAAACAATGTTCATATTTTATATTCTTTTTTATAATTTATTACTTACTAAAAGTATTCAGTATTTTGAGTAAATATCTAATATAAGACTTATCTATTATAATTAATTAGTTTTAATAGGTATATAAAGTTAGTTTTATTAAATGCTATATATTTAACCTGTTTTGCTAAATTCTTATTTAGGTGCTTTGTTTTCATTTTTTACCATACTTATTATTTACCTACTTAAATATTATATGCAACAATTATTAACTGAACATGCGTTTAAATCAATTTTAATTTATATTAAGTGTTAAGAATTACAATTTTAATAATGTGTTACATTTCATATTATTGATATCATTTGAAATTTTGTATTACAGATTATTATAAAATTCAATCATGTCTAAGGCTCTTGTAAGTTTAGTCACAGGAGCCGCCTCTGGATTAGGAAAAGCCACTGTTGAACGACTTGTGAAAGATGGTTACAAAGTAATTATGTGTGACCTACAGTCATCAAATGGAAAAAGTGTTGCTGAAACAATTGGTCCCAACACTAAATTTGTACCTACTGATGTACGATCTGAAACTGATGTGCAAAATGCTGTTGACACATGTAATCAACTCCATGGAAAATTAGACTTGATTGTTAATTGTGCTGGTATAAGTATCGCACGCAAAATATTTAATTTCAATAAACGCAGTGCCCATAGCTTAGAAGAATTTACTGATGTACTTATGGTAAATACTGTAGGCAGTTTCAATGTTATCCGATTGGGTGCTGCCTTGATGGGAAATAATGATATTGATGAAAATGGTCAACGAGGAGTAGTGATCAATACATCAGGATATTCTGCTTATGATGGACAAATGGGTCAAGTTGCTTTTGCAGCCAGTAAAGGAGCTATTGCTTCAATGACATTACCTCTTGCAAGAGATATGGCTACACAAGGCATTAGGCATTGTACGATAGCTCCAGGATTGTTTGATACTCCATTATTAAATCATTTACCAGACAAGGTTAAAAACTATTTTGCAGATATGACTCCATGTCCTAAAAGATTAGGACAACCAGAAGAATTTGCAAATCTTGTTGTAAGCATTGTCAATAATCCATTTTTAAATGGAGAAATTATTAGGATAGATGGTGGAATCAGATTTATTTAAATCGTTTGTAGTACTCGTCGTAATATATTTTAATTTTGTACTTCTATACATTATGTTAATATTTTTAATATTTAATTATAGTAGTCATTAATAAATAGTTTATTAAATAAAATATATTTATAATTTGTAATTCAGTGTTTTTCTTTAATATATAAAAATTACTTAAAGCATCATAACGTATGTCATATCATAAAACATATTATAAGCATATGAATAGTTAATCAATGTAGATAAAGTAGGCTACGGACTAATTATCATAATGAGAAGGAAAATTTATAATTGAGTAAAATTTTAGTACAATATAAATTATGTGTTAATATTTTTTTAATTCAAATAAGTAATTTTAAGCTTTAAATATAACCTTAGTGTAAACCACAGTATCACATAAGAATATAACATATTATTCTATATATTATATGAGTAACTGTATTTCTCATAATATTATAAAAAGGTTGGGGAATAGAAACCACTCTGCTGTATAGTAGAAGCTAAGTGAATCATTATAATGTTTAATGAATGTGTTTAATTTTAATTCAATGATATATCTTTGTATACAAAAAATGATTCACAACGTAGATGATCGTGAGTTTATATTACTAAATATATTTCAGGATATATTTTTTGATATTGCTACATAAAGTAATTTATTTTAATATTAATATTATGATGTACTGATTCAATTTTAGCCAAAAACATTTAATTTATTATATTATTGTTATTACAGTGGATGCTATTATAACCAAATTAATTTTATAGGTGAGGTAGGGGGAAAAAAAACAACATTTTTTTTATGAATTTGCTTTTATTTTAGTCTACTTACATACATATTACTTATTAGTGAAAAAAATGAAAAAATAATAATTAAAAATTAAAACTATATTATTATAAAAATTATAACATATTAATAAAAAAATTATAAATTACGTATGTACATTTTTATTATTTATGAAAAAAATTTGTAATTTTAGTTTGTTTTGAGTTATGTTCTAATATTCTGAAAATATACTGCTCATATTCATATTGTTGTACATACCATAAAGTATTATATATTACTCTATGATCATACACACATTATAAAGCATGAATCAAAACCAGTAATAAATAACAAAAATATGAAATTTTTTTAAAAAAAATTTATTTCCAAGTTTTAACCAAAAATGTTTATTTTTTATAAATTTTTTTTTTTTTATTTATAAAATTTGAGTTTTATAAACAAATTGGTAAATCTTAAAACTAAATTTTTTGTAATGTATTTGGATACATCCAGACTGTTCTGGACGATTTTGAGTCTATTTAGCGACTGAACCTTATATCCATGAGTTTTATAAGCGGCTCCACTGAATTACTTTTAAGTTGACATCACCATAAAACATTGTGGATAGATAATACACAAATATATATCTAAATATTATGAAAATAGCATTACTACTTAAAGTAAAATTTAGAATATACGTAAAAAATTTGAGATCCAGTAAATATTTTTTTTTAATTATCATCGTTATTAATGTTATTCATCATTTAAAAATGTGATTTTGTTCAAATTTGAACTTTAAAAAAAAATTAGATTTTTCAGTTCCAGAGTAAACTATATACCAGGGGTCACCAACTAATTTCTATGGGGGTCCGTTTTGAAACTTACCAAACTTTACGCGGTCCAAACAGTTTTAATGACTTTTGCACACGTTAATAAATAGGTATTTATAATTTATAAATTTGTGATTATACTTATTTATTTATTCAAATTGTATTATATACACGTTAATAAATAGTAGGTAAATACATTTTTTAAATTTGTATTTATATTTATTTATTTATTCATATTAAATTCATTTATTAATATAAAATGAAAACGCGCTCGCAGTCCGTAAAAAAAGTACTCAAGGTCCGTATCCGGACCGTGGTCCGCCAGTTGGTGACCCCTGCTATATACCCTTATAAATTGTGTTAATTTTTAAAACCTTAGATATTCAAATAAAAAAATTTCTTAATTTTTTAATGTAAGATACTTGTAGTTTATAGATTTTGTGATTTAGACAAATTTTGTAAAAGTTTTAACTTCAAATGCATATAAAAAAAATAAGCCTTTATACTTTTATTATTTTTATACAGATATATATTCAACTTATGTAGGATATTGTATTGAATTTTTAAGAATTTTGAACCAATGAATAATTTTTAACATTTATAGAAAAAAACAAAATTTAAACTTCAATTGTTCATAAAAATTAGACTTTCCAGAAGAAATTTTATACATTTTTAACTAGAATAAATTGCCAATTTTTCACAATTATGACAACGTTTATTGAAATCCTTACTTAAAACACTAACACAAATTCTTTGTAGACATACATTCAACTTATTTTTTAATTTATATTTATAATGAATAACCTTGAATCAAATTTTTAAAGTATTTGGACCAGACAAACATTTTTTTACTAAAAATTTTTAAAAAAAATATGATGAAATAGCTCAAAAATAATTGAAAAACTTTTTACAGTTATTTATTTTTACATTATAACAAAATAAAGAAATTAATTTTGTCAAAAACCAGTAGTGTGTTAAAATTCCCTTTTTTCCTAAATTTTTTGTTTTTCCTATTCATTAAGAAAATTAATAAGAATCTTAACTTTAGACTAGTACTAAAATATTAAATAGATGAAATTTGCCACCAGAAACATTTAAAATTAAAAATCGAAATATTTTTACTGCCTCAAAAGATGACAGACTTAAAAAAAATACACACATCATTATAAAATCAATAAGTTCATTGATCAGCTCAAGATTTATAATAAATTAATTGAAAAAAAAATATTCATTTAATGAAGATAAACATTACAAATATATTAACTTGAAATAAGTATAATTTATTATTTATTAAAATATATTTTTTCAATAATAATAATTACAACATGGATGCTTTAAACATAATTAAATTGTTTCTATTGTTTTTTTATAAACATAGATTTTTAGTTAAAATTAAAAACAAAACTTAAATAAAAATAGTTTTAATTTAACTCTAATATATATAATATAATAATAAAATGAACCCTTAGAAATGTATTTATTTTAAAATATAATTTAAATAAATATGACCTAATTTAAAATTAGATATATGCAATAATAATATTTAGATACATTTAACAAGTATAAATAGAAACTAGTCTAATAAATTTTAATATTATAGAATTTAATATAATATTGTTAAATGATTGATTTATATACATGAATCCAAAACAGAAATTAAACTATACACATTTACGAATTATTAAATTATGGTTTATTTGTAAAACAATGAGATAATAATTTCTATCATTATATTAAATTTTTTATGGAAAGGAATCAAATAAACAATTCAGGTTTATATATTTTATAACTCCAACCAATTAACCAAAGGAAACAAAATACTCTGGAAACTTTAATAATATAATATGTTTATATTAATACTTTGTAAAAAAAAACAAAAGATGTAATTTTTCTAAACATTATTCATAAATCATAAGTAAAAAAAATAAAATATTTTCTAATAAATTATTTTAAACATTGTTCAACATTAATATAAAAAATTTAAATCTATAATTCAATTGTGTATTCACATAAAAAAAAATAGGAAGATGGATAAAAAAAAAACAAAAAAAACAATATAAATATGTAAACTTTAAGTTATCTTTTTACTTGTAAAATATTCATTATATTATACTTATTTGTAGATTCACCAGTCTTATTATAATACTATAATGAAAAGCTTTTGACCACAATATACATAATACATCTTGTTTTATTGTATACTAAGATTTAAAAATTTTGGTGTTTTACTAATTTGTTTAGCACCAGCAGACTCCCAAATTGTTACTGTTCCATCTTCTGTTGATATATATAAATGTTGAGAGTCACTCGAATAGATAATACTGAAAATTTGTCAAAATTCTAGTTAAACAATTGGAAAGTAAGAGATTTATTTATAACTTACGCTATAACTGCTCCGTCAAAATGGATAATTGGTATTTCATTAACAAAAGATAAATCCCATGTGCTCCATAACCTGGTTAAGGATAAATATATATTTATTAAATTACATATAAAACCTACTGATTTCAGCTGTAATTACTTAACACTCCCATCTTCCAATCCCGTTGCGATAATATTAACTGATATTCCTTCGGGTGCATTAGAAAAGCATACTGCTGTTATTTTTTTATCATTTTCTATACTGCCAATAAGTGAGGCATTTATAGTATGAAGTGTCATGATTGATTTTCCACTGTTACAGTTGTAAGCAATTGTAGCAATATCGCCAAGAATTTCATTGATGGAAACTAAATTTATCTAAATAAAATGAAAGTATAATATTGAATTAAATTATAAAATAAAATTTTTAATTATTTCATTACTGGGAATGTCATAGGCTCCAATGATCTCACGTATGCAATATCATTTAAATCCCAAATAATTGCAATTCCTTCATTATCACAACTGACAGCAATACTAAATGCTGGACTCAAAGCTATACAAGATATTTTTGCTCGATGGCCAATAAGAACAGTCGGTTCTTTAAAAATTTCTACGTTACCAACAATGATGTCAAAATAAAACCTGAAATAGGTTATATATTACAATTATATTTTTAAATAAAAAAAATAAAAAATATTAAATGTTCAGATGAAAGTTATATTGTTACTTATAATAAACGGGCTCTATATAAATAAAACATAAGTTTAGTCAAGTATTTTATTACTTGTATACGTGAATAATTCCAGATTCAAAACCAATCCAAATATAAGGGCAGTGTGGTGCAGTGACTATAGTGCTGATGTTGTCTGTAGAAAAAAATTTGAATGCTGGTTTAGAGGGAGCTTCTTTACGCTGTTTAATTCTAACCACATTATCAAATTCACTCCAAGTAAGTATTGCTGCAGCCATTACAGTAACTCCTTCATTTAATAATGTTAACGATTTTTCCTAAATTATGATAAAAATTAAATTTTAAAATCAATAATTTTTCAAATAAAACATTAACTTAACAATGGTCATTATAATTACTTTTGAATATGTTAAGAGTAAAGCAGAGTTATTTGAAAGTCCAAATACATCATTGGTAAGTAAGGGCACAAAATTAGTAACCAGAGTCTTGTGTTTTCTCTTCCAAATATACATGGGGACATTTTCCTCTGGTGATCCAACATAATTTCCCCATTTTAAATTTTTTAAACCTACGAGAATAGAATTATTTAAAACCAAAGAATATGAAAGAAATATTATCAAAGTGTCTAAAAAACATTTTACCTTTGATAACATTTCGACAGTTAGTATTTTTTGTTACATTTTTTGGAGAGTAATCATTGACTATCATTGGGTGTGGAAAGCGAAATAACTGTCTTGGAGTCTGTCCATAAGTGCTGACCATAGTTTTAAAAGCAGATCTTGCAACTGGATCTTCTGTATCTTCTATATGTGATCCATAATAAGTAGCTGGGTGAAACACATTGATTGCATCAATTGCTGCTTTACCAGTCTGTTTGTAACCAAATATTAAGTCTATCCAATGTGGTAAATTTTCACTAACTATTTCAGATTCCAGAAGTTGCCTTTTAATAAACATTAATTAGTATTCCAATAATATTAAATCAAATTTTTATATAAATAAATATTTAATTTAATTTACCTTTGAATAAGAACAAATAATCGTGGATTATCTTGAGCCCATATTGGTAATTTAACAGAATCAACAGTTTCTCCAGATTGCTTAACTCCAAAATTTAATTGTTCAAAGTTCATAAACATCTCAGGTAAATAGTAAAACTCAGGTATAAGTTCCTTCAAGTCAGTCGTTGATTCATCAGATGACAAACGCCAGGTAATTTCCATTGAATGAAATGATCGATCTGGTACGTCAAAATTATTATCCTGAAAGTAGATATGTTGGGATTAATTACATTTTTATTGATAAAATTGTACTGTATTACTTGATATTTAATAAACATTTGTGTGTATGGTGGGACTCTGATCAAGAAATGTAATACTGTACCAGAATTACTGTAATGTGAACTATAGTGATGTGGATCAGTTCCAAAGTTATGAATATCTTCTTTTAAATACTGAAATGAAATAAATTATACATAAACCAAAATTGGAGATAAAAATCAAAAATATTACGTTGTAATGTTGAATATAATGAGCTTCTTTTTTTTTATTCTGAATTGCCATAGGCCGTCTCAAATCCCTAATATTAAAAAAAAAAAAAACAAATATATTGTTTAATTTAAATTATTTATAATGAATATTATCAATCTTTTAATATTTACAAAAATGTCAACATAATTTTTAGTATTTTATAGTTTACCTGTAAGTAGATAATTGATTCAAATCTAATTCTGTGGTATTGTAACTAGCTAAAATAAATGGCATAACAGGATATTGCATTAAATCATTATAAGATCGTGCAGCCATTTTATTCAAAATCGATAAATATTCCATGTTGGTGATTTGACGTGTCCTCCATAAATCAACTGTTTCACTTAGTATTTCGTTGGTAATATGATTTGGTAATGGAAAATTTAATAAATAACTTCCAAATTCATCTCTTTCCTGGGCACAAATACCAATTTTACACGATAAAATACAAAGAAAAGAAAAAATGAAGGTACCTTTTGAGAATGAAAAGCAATTAAGAACGTTTTTCCATTAGTAAGAAATATTTCTACAGCTTTTTCCTTCAGTGAGTATCTGCGGTTATGTATTTCTTTGATTTCATCAAATTTAAGAACATGTGAATAATCATTTTGTGGAAACTGTAATATTATAAACAAAAGTTAAATATTTATATACTTATTAGACTTTATTAATTTTTAAAAAATGTACGTTTGGTATGTTTTCGGTAGGAACAATGTAAATTGCATTTTCACTGATTAAAATTTCACATTTAATTTTTTGCCATGGGTGTACTAGTTTTGCAGTACACATGTACGATATTTTTTCTTGAGACAATAAGCTTTCAACAACAGCAGAGGAAACAGGAACTTCCATATCATCTGATACTAAATAGTCTAGAGGTCCTTTGATATTATTTTTTTCTTTAAATAAATAAAAGTTTTAGTACTAATTAAAACTCAATAATAAGTGAAAATATAATACTAACCAGCTTTTTTTACATGTTCAGGTTTAAAGAATTTTTTTAATATATTTAAATGGCACCTTTGAAGGCGAATTCTCACTCTACTAGGTCCTTCTGTTGGATTAAGTTCCCATGATCTAAAAATATATGTTATATGAACATAAACTTTAGAAAAATTATGTCAGATTATTATTTACGAGATATACTGTTTACGTTGGATATGACTCTGGAAAATACCACGGCGCCTTTTCGTGAGACATTTGGTTGATAATAGATTTCCATCGTATTGTTGCTTGTATGGTATTTCTATAATTTTGTTTAGTTTTTTCTAGTACAAGTTTCCTTTGGGAATTTTGTTTATCTGATACAATTGTTGTAATTTCCATAGCAGAATTGCAAATCAACTTTATTGTGTTATCCCATTTACAAGCACTTCTATAAAAATATTACACAATTTCTAGTATTAAAATTTGCAATTTTTTTTATGTGAATTAAATCTTAAATAAAATTATTTCATATATCAAAATCAAAGCAGTTAAATATAAATTTTATTTAACATTGCTGAATGGTCAAAAATTTAACCACAAAAATTGTGTAAAGTTAAGTATTTTCAAGAACTTAAAAAATAAAACAAAAACATACTTTATAATATTATCATTTTGATTAATATCCATTCCATTTAATTCTATATTCATTTGACTTAAAACTTGATTTATCTGATTTTTCCATTCATTTTCATAAACAATTCCATTACTATCGGCAGTTAATAATTCTAATTCGATCAGGTGTTCTTTCAATGCTTCACACGTACACAATTCTTCTTCAGTAAGAGGTACAGTCAAATCAGCATTCATCAATGAATACAAATAAACATAAAACCTTTGTTCAATCTAAATATGAAAAATACAATTTGTATTAAGTACAAATAATCAATTCTTTAAAACTATTATTAATTTGTAACATTAGAGAAATTATTGACTATAGATAATACTGATTATTATATTTTAACTAACTACTAGTTTAAATTTAATTTTTTAATCAAATAAAAAATGTATTTGAGTTAAAAAGTAGGTAGATAACTTAAAAATTTGCTTTTTTTTTATAAATTATTAGAATAAAAATAAGAAATCATGATCTATATTTACTTTATTATTAATTTACTCTGAAGACATTTTATTTTGTTACAAATATTTCAATTTTAAGGGCACATTTTTGATATATTAATTATTGTTATACTATAAAATATATTAATAGGAATCTTTAATTATGAATATACTCATTAAAAATCCAAAACCATAAATTTAATGCAAATTTTGGTCAATATTAATTTATAAATACATATATAGATATATATTTTATGTATTAGGGTTATATAATTTTCTGCTCTATTTATGAAGAACTAAAAACATGTCAGAAACTCCTGAGAGTATTCAATTATTATCAATCATATATTATCAACAAATAGAACAACTCAGTCATTATCTATTAAAATAATAAACTATCCAAGTAAGATTATTATGTTAATACGCTTAATTTGTATATTAATTTTATGCATATTATTATAATATTAAATTTAAACTAAAACTACTTGCTGGTACCTTAAAAATCTAAGTTTTAATAATAAATAAATAATCTATTCATTATTTAAAAAAGAATTTAGAATAAATAAAACATAACATACCTGAGGATTTATATATATTAAGTTTTTGAACAATTCTTTAGACCTAGGTTCATTTAATAATGATTTTACAGCAAAAATACGTATCCTTGTTGTTTGATCTGGACTTAAAAGCCATACTAATAAATTGGCACCTTGCAATCTAAAAAAATAGATTATTTTAACTTACACTTAGATTTATTTATAATAATTAACTTTTAAAAACTTCAGAAATTTATTCATAATTAAAATTTATTTTAATTAAAAAAAACTTAAGTTGAGAAGCTTAGTGCAATAGTTAGAAACTTCTGTTATTCACAAATCATACAATTCTATGTTACAATATAAGTAAAAATATAAAAATGTTAATATCTATTGACGATGTGGTGTTTGATACATGAATATTTGATCTAGGACCAATGAACACTGTGGTTTGGACATCAAAAAACCAACAAAAAATAATAATAAATGTATAATATAAATATTAATAATAAAAATTAAAATCTATACCATAAAAAGTTATTTATATATTATTTTTTTTCCTTAAATATTTTAATACTGATCTATTTTATCATATTAAAATAAATAACTATTTTAGATTCTGAGCAGAGCAATGAATATATTTATTTTACAATGATGTTTTATTATTATTTCTGAGTACACAATAAATAATCAATAAAATGCTTTAATTTTCATGTTGAAAATTGATTTGAATAGCAAATTTGATTTAGTTTGTACTTTAGAGAGGTCAATATTAAAAAACTTAGTACCTTTAATAATTGGGATAAACAAAAAATTAAGAAAAAATGGGAATTTTTATACAAATCCAATTTTCAACAAAATTAATTTTGTACTTAAAGTAATTTGAGAATAAATAATTGTAAATACACAAATTTTTAACTAAATATTTAAATTATCATTTTCTATTTGTGATAACAATTTTTAATATTTTTGTGCTATTAATAGACAATTGAATTTTTTTATTTGTGTTTCTTTTTAATTTTTTTTTAATTGAAATGTTGATTAAAAATTATTTCCTAAATAGATATGTTTAAAAATATAACACAAATCTCCTCATTAAAGTTTTTTTTATTTCTAAATTGGAAAATATCAAAAATCCATTGTCACAATATTTTTTTATAAGCATCTATAGTTATATTTTAACAAACTTAGTCAACAAATGCTGAAAATGTACAAATTATTTTGTAATTAAAAATTTGTTTTTGTAAATAAGTGTGTTTATAAAATAAAATAAGTGTTTTGTTTATACTTAAAATTTAATACAAGATACTTTATATATTTTACAACCAATATCAATAAAAAAAATTTCTATCAGGAAGTCAAATTAATTAACCTTTCATGAAATATACTTAGTAATATAAACTGATAGACTGTTTTCACTCAGAATGATTTTTTGTATACATTGATATATTATTAAATTCAAATTTAAGTCATCCATAAAAATGACTCACTCGACACCTAATTTACAGCAGAGTGATACCCACAAGCCTATCTTTAAGAAATTGTATTTTAATTTTTTAATTTTCATAATTAATATTAAAATTAAATATTTTTTTTATGACCAATTGTCTCAACATCCAAATGGCTGTGTACAAGCGTCTCTATTCAAAAAAAATATTACTGATAACTATTTGTTTTCCAAAACTTGATGTAAAATATAGTGCTTTACGTTAAATTTTTATTATATGTCCATCACATAATAGTATACATAATAGTTCTATGGTTAGAAAACAAATGAAAATGTATTCAAAATTCTTGTACCTTATAACATCACGAGCAGCTCCATAAATAGACACCCATGGATGCTGTCTTTGTTCTCTCGTATTTTGTATAATACTAGTAAGATTGTAAAGAAGAATTGTGAACAAATGACATCCAAACGCAACTTCAGGAGTAACTTCGTCACTTGTTTTTTCATCTATAAAATATTTATTAGTATTATAAAAAACTACCTTTCTTTTTATATAATTATATGAAAAATTTTTGACGTTACTTGAAGCAAAAATAAACTCAACAGATCGAATGATTATATTTTTGTATCTTTCAATTAATTCTGTTTTAGATAAAGATTTTTGACGATTAATATTAGATACAATACTAAATAGGCTTGATTCACTGTTTGATATGGATGGTATATTATTTGTTTCTTTTGGGTTGTTTAATGATAACACTAAAAAGTAAAAACAAAATATAATAATGTAAAAAAATCAACTCATAACAGTTAAATATTTAAGAAGTAAAATACCAGAACTCAAGTTCTTTTTTAAACGGGACAAAGCAGGAACTAAAGGTGGTTGAGTCTGTATGAGATCTTGAATTGTATCCATTCCAGATTCCAAAATAAAACGTTGCGTTTCTCTTAGGGTTAAGTTGGACCTGATGCCTTCTTTTGATGTTTGTATTTCTGTTTTTTGTAAATAACGACATTGGTACACTGAATCATTTAAAATCTGAAAAATGATAAAAAGAAATTAGTTTAAATTATTATGTTAGTTGATGATAGTAAAATAAAATATTTATACTGACTTGAATATTTTGTGTACCAGGAGTATGAATAGCTGAAGTAATCAATGTTATTAATAATGAATTTATATCATCAACAAGTATTTCTTGTTTATTTAAATCTATATGACTCTGAGCTGTTGGGTAAATACTAGCAATTACTGATAATGTTTTTAATAGACATTCAACCAAACCATACTCTAAAATAGTATTCAAACACTGTGGAACCTAAAAACATACATATTAATGGAATCTTTTTTTTTTCTTTTTTTTTTAATTTAACTTGATATTGATACTGAAATTCTTACCTTGGTTACGAGTTTGAGAAAGAAGTTTACTATATTTGTACACAATGTCAAATTATAAGTAGACTTGGGTAACAGCGAGAGTAATAATGGGACAGCAGAAAAGTTAAAAGAACCCATTTCAACAGGTTGGTCCCATAGCAGTTGTTGATCCAAAGAAAGCCAATAGTTACCAGTAAATATAGAAGCACAAGTGTCAACTAAATTCACTGTGGTTTGATGTAATGACAATATGTTTGCCATTTGATAAAATCCTTTGAATTTAGTCACAAATCTTTTAGCATACGATTGACTACATCGTTGTAAAAATACACATATTATCTGGAACAAGAATGATTTTAAAATTTTAAATGAATATAATAAAACAAAATTAACTACAAAACTTACTTTTAAAACGATAATTTTAATTGAAGGACTAGGATTGTTAAGTAAAACCACGAGTTTCTCTGCGTCAAACATTTTTTCAATAACATTACCAGGAACACAATTTGAAATATTAATTAAAACATTTCTTAATATAGAAAATAAACCTTCAATCATCTCACTGTAACTTTCAGAATCAGAAGATTTAAATTGTTTTTCATTTAATTTTTCCTAAAATAAATATCATTATTTGTTGATAATATTATTAAAAATTTAAATTATTAATATTTATAAATAAATGATAGATTTACTTGAGCTCCAAAGTACACTTCAGCTTCGCAAGCATTACCATAGTCCAATGATACATTTTTTTCATTACTTTTCATCGCTACGGCAACATCTTTAATACTACCATCTATACCGGAATCTTGACCAGTCTCTTCTGGAACAAAATGTTCACTACTTTCTGATGTTTCTTCACTAGCTTTGGATGAATATATTTGATTATTTTTTAACAATTCTTGCTGTACCTACAAGAAAAAGTAATATAATTAGTAATATCAATATATGTTAATGATTCTTGAAAAAATATAAAATATTTTAAAAACAATTTATTGAAAAATTAGTAAAGGATATAATAGATAAATTATTTTACCTGGAGTTTTAATAACTCTGTATTTAATCTATGAGTATCAATAGAACCAGAAAAATCAGTTTCTGAATAATTGTTTAAATGTAATTTACTATCAGACTCTTCAGATTCTAAAAACAATACACACAATATTTAAAGTAAAAATAAATAACCAAATTTGAATATAAAAATTAAATAAATACCTGAAGATACATGAATGTGAAAATCAGGTGATGCATACATTCTTGATTGGGGTGATAAAACAAAATATACTAATGCTTTTAAATGAGGCAAGTATAAATTTTTACTTGGATGCACAGCAATCAAAAAGTCTAATATCAAAGTAATATAACTTTTATTTGTTCGTAAATCAAAAATACTTTGTACAAAATCAACTAAATCTTTTTGAACACATCCTACTAATGTGGTTTCATTTGAATCCTCTAACAATAATTGACACTATTCACAAAGTAATAATACAAATGTTTGAAGATAAATAATAAAAAATTTATTTCACAAAAAAAAAAATACCTTAATTTGCAATAAAATCGATTCCAATAATTCAGATGATTGAATTTGTTTTAAATTAAACTTTCTATGTGGATGGTTTAACGATAAAAGATGTTTACAAAATTTGAAAAGATACTGAATAATCTGTTGATTATTGGTAGTCCATATCTTCCAACATGGTAAAATTACTTCTTTTATAAAACAAGTATTCAACAAAACACCTTCATAAAACATATTGACAATCCATTCATCATTTACATAAACAAATGCTCCCTTTTTATTACAACCGGCTTCCAAAAGAACCTGCACATCAAATAAAATATAAATATAATTATTTAGCACCTATTACTATATATTACAATTATATAAATATTATAAATACCATTAGCATCGAACAACTAGGTTGAATTTTTGATGAAGTCAGTGCTTTTGTTAATAGTTTATAACCATCAAGTGTAATAAATTCTGAATACAATTTAGAATCAGATTGTACAAAATGTAATAGAATTTTTAATGCTTTAACTTGATCATTAGAAGATGAATGAAATTCTATAACCTGATTAATACATGATAAATAATCATAAAATCAAGTATAAAACATTAAATTATAGTTTATTTACCCTTGCAAATAAAAATAATATTAAAGGCATGCCTCCTATTTTATTTATTGCAGTCAGTAATCCATTTGGCTCAAGCACTTTAATAGAACTAACAATAACTGTAGATATCACTTGAGGTGGGCTCTGACATGCACGTAAATCATATGCAGTCATCTTGAACATTAATGGTTGAGTAGGAGGAAATAAAGAACCTAAATAATACACAAAATATTATGAAACACTAAAAATGTCCACGTTATTTATAATTTATATCTTAATAATTATCATAATGCTTTTTTATGTGCCTACTAAAAATTAAATATATTATTATTATTAATTTTCAATAAATAACCATATATAAAATAACCATAGGTCACATTCAATGAAAAAAAAAAAAAAATGTTATAATTTGCTTATTAAATAAAATGGTGTAAAACATTCAATGCTACAATTTTTATATATATATACATATTCTTAACTGTTTATCAAATAAAATTAAATAAAAAAAAATGTCACCTGTAGGATTTGGAAGAGTCAAAGAGTACAAACAAACTGTAAGTGGTTGTCTTGGAGTAAAACTCAGTAATATTACATCCTAAACCAAATATCAACAATTTTATATATAAATTATCTTGAAGTTAAATTTTTAAATAAATTAATAAATTTAAGTTACCTGTAGAGGCTTAATTATTTCAAAACTTTGTTTCGATATTTGACTCCAGTCAAAATTAGAATTCAAAGATGCATTTAAATTAAAAACTGAATCATTAAATAACATGCTAAAGTTTGGTTTTAATGGATTATTCGAACAATCAGCCAAATTTTCTAAATCAGGTCCAAAAGCTGCAAGAGTACTAGAACATTCTTTTGTTAGAACAGGCAATCTGAACATTAAAATATTTCCAATTGAAATAGGTGAAGTATTATCTCTAGTATCCCCTAATAGAACATTGGATGGTCGAGGTTTTTTAATAAGAAATCCATTAAACAAGAGATTGGCTTTATTTTCATACAATCCATCTATTATAAGTGTTATCTAAAATAAAAAAGAAAAATCAGTGATAATTAAACAAATTAAAATTAAATTTTGAATATCTTACCTCAATAAATTTGTCTCCTTTTTTAATACCATTTACATTGATAGCAACATGATGCCAAGCAATCACACCCAAACAGTTGTTAAAATTTACTTCAGAAAGTAATTCAAATTTATTTTCATTTGGCCTAGTGAGTCTCACTACAAAGCCATCAGTTAAAGAGTTCAACCAAAACTCTATAAGCATTGCATCAAATCCAACTGAAAATACATGGGTTAAATCATCTAAATTGTTTGTTTCTTTTTGTAAGTTTTGAGCTAAAAAACATTTTATACATTAATATATTATATTTACATTATTAAAGATAATACTAAATTATATCATTACTTTTTCCAATAGATTCTGCAGAATTGTTTCTCTTGATACTTATACATTTATGCACATGATCTAAACATAACCACATTGATAATGAAAAGCCAGTCGATAATATAGACCATCCAAGATCTGTGTTTATGGGTAAACTTAGAGCAAATACAGACCATGGTGTCAGCAAATCTAAAATAAAATAAATTAATAATTAATATTTATTTAAAACAAAATTTATTCTTCCATACTCATTTCTTTATGGTTTTCTCGAATTAAAATAGCTAATGCTTCTGCAGGTCTATCACTAATCGGTAAATCTGAGATTAATTTTGCAGGAAATTGAATACTGTAATATGGTCGCCATGCAATTGGTATATGATCAGTCACGTAAACTAATGGCAAGAGTAATAACCTCTAAAGAAAAATAATTTTAATAAAAGACTTTATAAACTCTACTATTTCAGATTAAATTTATTAATAAATTATCTTACAAGAGGTGGATTATTTATTTTAAACAAGTTTAAATACATCTCAAGTTCAAAAGTTTCTATATAATGACAAGCCATTAAAGCAATAAGTTCCATCATATAATTATAAATTTTATCATCTGTTTTAAAACAAAACATTTTTAGGTTAGTAAATGAAAAATTAGCAAAATTAAATAATGAATACAAATATACACACAAATTTCAAATTGTTCTTTGTTATTAATATGTTCTTCAATACAGTTTAACAATTTAGAAATAAGTCCTTCTTTAGCAAGTTTTATACAACTTTCATCATTATCTTTACAAATAGCAATTAATCTTTGTAAACAGTAAATTATTCCATCTATATTGTCAAGATTTCTAGATTTAAGAAAATTAAAATATAAATTTAATTAGTTTAAAATATGAAATATTTTAAATCAAATTTAAATATACCTGGAAAAAGTCATTAGGTCTATAGCCAATGTACACAGTGCTGGATGCATAATGTTCATTTTTTTTGTATCTGTGTGAATATTTTTATGAGAAATTGATTCATCTGCAGTTCTATAAATATCAATGTTATGCATTTATAACTTTTAAATATTGAAGTATATTGTAATGAATTTCAATTCATAGCCAAGATTAAAAATATAGGACATAAACAAAAGTTTTTCTACCTTCCTAACACACAAATACTATTGTAACTAATTAAATTTCATGACATTAACAATTGACTATCATTATGTATATATTGAAAAATAATTTTTTATAAAATAATTGATGGGCAATTGCCATAATCCTTACCGTGTAATTGTTAATATAAGCCTAACATAATAATCAAATTAAAAAAGAAATAAAAACATCTTTGTAATACATTTATAACGGAACAATATACTATGATAATATTAATGTATACTATAAATAATAATATATAAGAAATAGGTTTTTTAAAAGAGAGAGAGAGTGGCTTTAGTCCCAGAGTTCCCTCTCCTAGGTCCGCAAATGAACATATTTAAAATAATCTATACTGTTTTAAAAAATGTACTCACTTATCAGATGAGTCAATATTTATCCAACTCTGAAACTCAATATCTGCTTCATAACCTTCATCACCAGAAATAAAATCATCGTCATCATCAAATGGTAGCCATTCAGCTTTACCTGGTGTTTCTATTTCCAATAACTATTTAAAATAACCATAATTATATTATATAAAAACTAAATCAATTGATTTAAAAAAATATATAATCAAAATATACCATATTTAATGATTGATCTGTTGTTATTGAATTTAAGGTTTGACGATTATAAGATACTGTAGCACATTTTATTAAAGAACTACAAACTTGTTTAATTCCAATATGTCCTTTAGACAAAGCTTCAATCAACAAATCTTTTACGTGAGAATCCAATGTAACTACATACAAATTTGTCAATAATAATTAATAATATATTAAAAATAATAACTTATATAAATATCTAAAATCAATAATTTCTAACCAAATTAACCCAATGCCATTAAAATACCTAAAATAATATCAATACTAGAAGCAATGTAGTAAAAGAGACAATGAGACAATGTATACCCACTTAGAATATGGATAAATTATTTAATTTTATAATATATAATATATATTATAAATTTTAATGTAATAATATATAATACATATATTTTATGGTAATTTTAGAGTAGACTATTAGTGAACTAACAGTACTCAATGTGGTAAATCAATTCAGTAAATATCCAAACACCCAAACGCCTACAGTATAAAAATAAATATGAGACAACGTCAAATGAACCTCATTTTGCCATATACAGTGGACAGATTAACTAAAAAATAGGTAGGGGTTATCATTGTGCTTTAAGACATATTTCGCTTTTCTTTTTTTGCTTTATTTTATTTAAAAGCAATTTTCATTAACTCAGTTATGACAGAGTAATTGACTACTCTAAATTTTTTATTTTATTTATTTCTGATGTAATATTGTATAAATATGAGTATCAATAATATTTTCATTATGATATACTCAGTTATTTTTTTTTTAACTTTTCCCTGTTCTAGATTCAATTCTCACCATTGAAGAATACTCAATATTCAATAAAATATGAAATAAAAATATAATAAAAATAATATCTTATATGCTTACAAAATATCTTAAACCAAAATTGTATGATAAAGATGCTAAGTATAATTTAAAATCTTTACTTACTTTTATCCTCAAAAATTGATAGATTTAAGACTAGTAAACATTCGATAAGCTTTAAATTTATAACATTTTTGTCTTCAATTGTAACTACATTCATACCTGAAAATAATAGTAAAGAAATCAAATATAATACATTAAATAAGTAAAGGAAAACAGCAAAATCGACTGACCTTCCACACTAATTGGCCTGGTTAATAATAAAGATACAATTGATAGAAGTGTGTCATAATGATATACAACAGATGAAACTTGTAAATAACTCCTAATTCTAGGACATGTTAATGAAAGTCTAGCTAAGCATTGAAATAAATCAGCCAATCTTGTTATAACACTATTATAGTCATTGTATTGATCTACAGATTTAAATGTGATATCTTCTCTTAAAAAATCTGACAAGGCTGATAGACTGTATTTAAATTTCAAATTAATTTTTGTTGATTGTGTTTTCATTACATAACCACAAAATAATTCAACTAAATTAAACACTGCAGTTACAATAATATTTAAATCTTCCGCTTGACTATCTGTAATTAAAATTGGAGTTGTTTTAATTTGATTCAAGGTCCACATTTTTGACATTATTTTTGTTTCCAACACATTGCAAGCCAATTTTGTAAAAATTGGATCAGTTATTAAAAGTTTTAAGTATTTAACACCATTTAGAGAATCAAATTCTGATGTAAAATCTAGAGACGCTAATAATATGTTAAATATATTTAATGAAACATTAATTAGAAAACGATCAGAATCACTCTTATTTTCCCTGTATGATTTTTCACTTGTTTTAAATATTGGATAAAATATACGAAACAACATTACATGTTGAACATCCTTTATAAATACTGAAGCATTTTTTGACAAATGTAATCCAATTGTATATGTCAGTTTAATGCTTGAACCAGTCAATAATTTTCTAAACAATTCAAAGGTAATCCATTTTTGTTCTTTTTTCTTCTTCTTTTTCTCATATAAATTCATACTACTTAGAGAAGTGTCATCATCATCACAACATACCTTACAAGAATTATCTTTGTATGCAACACCTGTATCTCGATACAAAGTTTTTTCCATCAGTTGTAATATCATGTAACTCTTCTTATAGTCATGGTCACCAACCATTTTTAATAACTTTGGTAAAATTAAAGACAGTGGTACACAACAACATATTCCTGTAACTCCTATTGTCTTAGCCAAATAAAACCATAGTTCTTTATCCTGGTTATTTAAGTTGATCATTAGTCGAATAAGAATCATTGACAATGAAGTAACACAACAATTTTGACTAGTATCTTGAGATGGAACTATACTACTTACATATACTTCTCCAAAGAGATTGTTATGATGATGCAACATAGATTTAGTACAATGTCGATGTCTGATTTTGTTACAATGCTGTAGATGTACCATACGTTGTCTTATTTTCTTCATGTTCAACACTAATAAACCAAGTAAATTTATAACAATTTTAACATGATTAGAGGAGAGTTCTGCGTCTTGATCTCTTATACTAAGTATTAATGAAATACATTTTTCAATTAGTTTGCCACGTTGGCAGTCAAGCATTACTCGTATTTGTTTTAAAAAATTAAAATGACTATTATAAGAATGACACTCAAATAACATCAATGAGAATAACATCAGCAATGCACATACAACACCAAAAAGAGTTTTTTGACGAAAAGGATATTCTTTTAACTCATTTATTCTTGATTTGTTCAATAAGTTTTCTAAAATTTGCAATAATAATGGTACAATACCTTCTTGAGTAATTGTTTCACTGATGTTTTGATACTGATACAATTTTTTAACAGCTAAAACCATATTGTACAACATTTTTGATTGTATTACATCATCATCTTTATTGCTAACATCAAACTGAGAAACACATATGCTATCTAATGAAAATTTCATAACTATAAATGGCACAAACTGATGACTACTTTTTAAATTATATTTTAAAGGGTTCTGAGTACTGAACAATAAAATTTGTGTTAATAAATCTAAAACTAATAACTTTATTTGGCTTGGAGTTGAAGTGTGACTGGTAATAGATTTAATATGTTCGTCATAAAAATAACCAGGATACAAATTTCTTCTTTTGGCCAAGTTGGTTTCTTCATCATCAGACTCATTATGCTCATCTCCACTACGTACAATATTAGTAAAGTAATCAAAGTCCATTGGATTAAATCGAATACGCAGAGCGCTAGGCGACTTCATCATATCTAATGCAGTTTGAGACTCTGATTCACTAGATTCTTCGACCATTTTTGATTTATCACCTTCTAATGAGTGAGTTTTTATCCTATGAAAAAAAAACATGATATAATTTTAAAATATTTAAATTATTAGTAATAAATAACTAAATAACATACCTATTTGCTGATACAGAGCTTACTCGACGAGATCTAGGTATACTAGGACTTGACCTATCATATATAGAATTAAGTTGAGTTTTTGATTTTGATTTCATACCTTGAAATTGTGTTAACTTAATTAAATCATCAAGTTTCAAATTTGTTTCATCCGTTGAAGAAATATAAGGATTAATCTTTTTGGCATCATAACTTATTTTACAATCAACATCATCATTGAATATTGTGAAAACTGATACTAAGACATTAGTCAGTTCCTTTAGTTGTCGGACTTCCTAAAAAAGAAACATTAGATTTAAGAATTTCATATATTTTATTTAAAAAATGAATCTTTTGTTAAAAATAATTTTATAATGAATAAAAAATTCTAAAATTGATCAATATTTATCTTGACAGAACTTTAATTACTATGTATACTATTTTTTATGAAAAAGATATTATTTACTATTTATAAAAATTAGTGAATCTTGTTAAAAGTTAAAATTTGTATTTTGTAGCTGTGAACTGTATGAAAGTCATAGTGATATCTTTCTTTAAAATTAATAATGTTTTGAAACTTTTTTATTTGTTCTTAAGATAAGTCCAGAACTCCTGTCTTAAGCCCTGTACAAACATGACAGCAACATATGTTTTTTATATTATTTACAAAAATGTTTCGGATATCACATCACAACATAGTAATATATTATTACATTTTAATGAATAATTTATCCTAGTTTGGAGTCCAGATGTAACTTTAAAGAACTGATATAATACTATTGTATTTTATATATATTTATTAAATAAACATATGAATTAATAAAAAATATTAAAATTTTACTTGAGTCCCAAGCAAATGTAAAACTGTTAGACATCTCCATCCTCGTTCAATTAAAATATATTTCTTCAAACTAGATAAATCTTCTTCACCAGACACAGAACATACATGATCAATATCCAAAAGTAATTGATCTACTATTGCATTAGATATACTAAAAATACAAATTTGTTTATTAAAAAATTTAATAAAATGTCATATATTAGTTAATATAATATGTCCCAACTATTATAAATTAAAAATAGTATTTTAACAGTGTTTTTATATTTTATTCAATGGTTCTCAATTAAAAACAATATAATATAATATATACATAATAGAAATATAAAATCTCAATAAGTCATGAACCAAAAATATTTTCTTTAACTCAAAAATACATTTTAGTGAAATATCTAATAATATTTATATCTACTATATATACTTAATGTTGTAAAAATTTTAATTTGCTTCAACCAAGTTTTGTAGTAATATTATTTTCAATACTACCAATGCATTTAATTTTTCATATTTATTAATTAATTAATTTTTTTTTCAATGCTGAAAAAGATTATTTGAAACAATTGTCAGTTACTATACTAACATTTTCAATGCAAAAATAACATAAAAAAAAAAAAATCATTATTTTTATAAAGATAAGCATTTATAGAATTTTTCTCTCATCTATTGGAATAGATTTCAGTTTAAATTTCAAAGAATTTACATCATAAGTCTTAACAAATTTGAAATTATTTTAACTAATTTTGTATGTTTAAACTTTAAAAAATACACTCAAGTTTTTTTTAATAGGTACTTGTAAGTGACTAGCATAGTATTAATGTATACGTTTTTTAATAAAAGTAAACAATACATAAATTGTGTGTGTATTGTTTTATAATTTAATAAACATAAAATAAATTTTTACTCCCATTTTTTATCCATAAATTTACCCCTGAATATAAAATAAATAATTAAATAGTAGGCAACTTAACTTGCATCTTTTTCACCCTAAATTTTGTTAATAACAATAATATTTTGTTCAATGTTTTTGTGTTTTATTGTGACTCAGAATGGTATAGATAAATTAATTTTTAATGGATTGGTTTAACTACTATCTTAGTATGTCACAGAAACTTAAAGTTTGAAATAATTATAATTAAAAACAAAAAAAAATTTAATTTGGAGAAAACCTTAAAAGTAAAGGTTTTGATCAGCTTTTCCGTTTTCTCTTCTATTTACATATAATTAAAAATACATAACAAATACTATATCAACTATAATCTTTTATACTAGGTACCATTATTGACTATATTGAACTAAAATTCAAGGTACTTACTAGCTACTGACTACTAAAATTTAAACATAGGCATTAAAGTTAAAGTTGATATTTCTGAAAGAGATTTGTAAAAATAAAATTATTGTAAAGATGCAAAATCACAATATATTCTTTATATTGTACATATTTTATGCTAAATTTAAGTAGTAAGTAGTAAGTGTAGTAATGTAAATTAGTAGTATGATTTGTATAAATGGCCATCTTTGAACTTTTGATTGTTATTTACAAAAACTTGATAAAAATTATAAAATATAACAAAATTATTAATTAGTTTAACATATCTATAATTTAAATAATGCTGATTCAATAATACAATCTGACTACATCAGTTTATAGTATAAAATATAATATTATTTAATTGAAATAATAATTATTAATAATGAGAAAAATTATCTGTATAATATTAGATGTTTATGTAACTAAAAAAAAAAAGAGATACAATAAAAAACAAAGATTAATCTAAAACAAAATTAAAAGGTACTAAACTAAATGTATCGCTTTCAGTGATCAGTGTTATCAAATGATAATATATCTAAAATAAAACGGCAAACAATGTCGTGACCTAAGCAAGTAAATTCAACACAATGAAGTTCCATAGATGGTTTCTTTACTCAAAACTCACAACTACATAATATAATTTACATTTATTATAAAATGGTTAATTAAAGATAATGCAATACATATAATATATAATAAACAAAAAATAAATTATAAGACTCAAACTGTTCATAAAATTATATATTTATTTTATATATTATAATTAACTAATTTTTTTCTTTCTTTCATATTATATAAATTAATCTAACACTAATGGCCTATAGTAGTCGAAGCGGAAATTCTTTGTAAAATTTCACGACTAATAAAAAAAAAAAAAAAAACAAACAAATAAAAGTATCTAAAATATTAATTTATACAAATTTTAAACAAAAAACTATTTTTAAAACATTGATGATTTAATTAAATTAAAACAATTTTGTATTTGTTTGGATTATTTTTATAATTTCAATACAAAGCTAATTTCGATTCTTAATTAAGAAAATTGTAATTTCAAAAATTGGTTTCTCTAATAATAATATTTATATTGTTATTTATACAAAAAAAAACACATCTGAAAAAACTTCAATGATTTGTAACAAAACACAGATAATTACTTAATATTTTTTTATTTCATATATTAATCAGCAGAACTAATTTATAAACATATTGTAAATTAACTTTCTAATTATTTTTAAAAGGGCATACAATGGAAATGACCTTAAGAAATTTAATCTTTTTTGATATCATTATATACACAAAATTATTAATTATACTATAATAAAATCATGTTTACTATTTTAATTAAATTTATTCACAAATTTTTTTTTAAAGAACATAATTTTAAACATACTAAAATAAAAGCTATACATCAATAAATATTTGTTTTTTTAATAAAATTTAAATACTTCACTCTTATACATAAATTATGCTGTTTAATTTGACACATAAAAATATTTGGTATATTATCTAAAATTTAAGTTAAATCTTTCTCTGGTAGAAATTTATAAAATTACGTTTATGTCTAAAATACTATACATAAATTTTGTTCTATAATTAGTTGTTAGTAGGAAAAATCTACTTACATAATTAACAAATAATATTAATTCATATAGTTTCAATTAAATCTCTTTAAACATTGAAAATTAAGATAAATACATTATTTATAACAGAGAATTTATAAGCATCCATTATTGAATATTTCTAGTGTAAAGGGGTCTGTAAACAGATGTCTCACAATGTATAAATATATATAATAGCATGTAATATTTTAACTATTTGTTATTTATTTAATTTGATACTATTTTGATCGATTAGAGAGTCAAGAGTTTTTATTTTTAAACTTATTTATTCTGAATATAAAAATATGATTTATAAGTATTATTTTTTTAACTTATATATACAATCAATAAATCCAATATTTACAATAATTTTGTTTTTAATCAGTTCATTTATTATTTGAGATTTAGCATACATGGATAAAAAATCAGACACCTAATAGTATAGTTCTATAAGTCTAAATTTGAATATTTTTTCCTAGTTACTAGTTAAGATTAGAATATTTGTACCACTTTCTCTCATATCTTCTTGTTAAATTGCTTAGAATAGTATTTATATGAATGTATTTAATTTTGTGGATCATTAGGTGATTTTTTGATACAGTAATATTATTTATTATATACAATCAAATTGTCTAGATCAACGGTTCCTGAATTGTGAGGTGCGCCTCTTAAGAGTGGTGCAAGCATTTAACAGAGGAGATGCAATGCAAATATTTATACAGTACCAATACACTAAGTACTAATATAGTGATATACACTAATAAAAATGTTGTTTCATAAAGACATAATTTTTTTTTGTGGGGGGGGGGGGGGGAGTGCAAGAATCAAAAAGTTTGGGAACTGCTGTTCTAGATTATTTGTTTTATTAATTTATTATTTATTATTTTTGTTTTTTCATTTTAATTTATAATATGACAAGAAAAATATGAATAAGAAATACATATCATACACTCATTTTTTTAAAATAGAGAACATTTTTTAAAATAACTAGAGTAATGAGCAAAATACTCATATCATATGATAAGATAAAACAGAAAAAAATTAAAAATAATTTAAAATATAAAAGCTTAATTATAAAAAGTAAACTCTAAAAACAATAATTATTCAAATATCGTTTAAATTAAATATAAAATATTGTAAAAAATTGATAACAGTTATTAGTTAATAAAAGTTAATTAAGAATAAATTGTTTTATAATCAATTAATTATTAATACTTTTATTACTAAGAAAGTGAATATTTACTATCTGTACTCAATAAACATATAAATAAAAAAATGTACATGGACAGGATAGCGTAAGTTAAAGGGTATACCAGTGACAAATTTTATGAAGGGTGGTCATAGCAGAGAATGCTCCCCCCCACTTTGAACTTGGTTAATTCACTTTAATATTTGAATATTAAAATTAATAATACATAATAATTTATAACAGTAACTATTATAAAAGTTTTAAAACATAACAACAATAAAACATAAAAACACTTGAACAGTTGCATACTTTTTTTACCAAGGTGGCTAAATTTGCTGCCACTCCTAAGGTATTTTTTTAAAACTGCTACTAGAATTGTACATTGACTTAAAAGATACTTATATAGCACTTTTATTAAGTTAATGACAGCATTTTATTAGTTTTCAATCACCGCCAAGCAATGGTAAATAAATTAAACACATTCACATAAATTTAATTTTTATAATTTTTGAGAACTTTAAAGAAAAATCAACCATGACAAAAATATATTTTTTAAATCAAATAATAAATAAAATACAAAACCAATAGATCAAACCCACAAAAATATTATTCTTTATATTTTTTCTAATATATAAATTAAAGAGAATAATAAATATTCTGTAAAATTAATATTTTTTACGTCATTAATACTGTTTAAAAAAATTTGGGAAAGGAGGGAAGTTCAAAATTAATTATGTATTTATTGAATTTACTTTCTATAAACATCCCCAATACAAACATTATTATAAATTATGTTTATTGTTTATGTATCTAACTCAAAAGTAAACAATAGGATATCCCAAAAATATTGATCAATTTATAACATTACATTATATGTCATTAATGATTAATAAAAAAGATATTATTATTATAAATGATATATGTTATATCATACAAATAATAATAATTATCATAAGTCATAATTAGTGAAGAATGTTGCTTAATACTTGTCACAACCAAAAACACATTTAATCTTAAAAACTTAAAAATATAAACTAATTTTAACTTTCAAAGTAAAAATTATTATACACAAAAATTCTTTTGGTGATTCATTAGTGTAAAAATAGGTAAATATAAACCATAAATTTAATTTACACAAAAAATTTAAAATAAATAAATTTTAAATAAAAAGACTTACAAATATTTTTAATAATTTTATGGATTATAATGAATATTTAATTTTGTAATTTGCCTAAATATTTATAATTGGTATACTTTTTTTCAAATCTAGTTTAGAATATATTTTATTGATTTTGTAGATTTTACTAGGGTACCTACATGTGCTACAATTTCTATTAATAACTATAAAATGTACCTACTTCTATCTCTACTTTTATATAAATACCAAATTTTATTATTTATATAAAAACAATTTCAATTCAAGTTAACTGTTCAAATTATAAAAACCCAAATTCCAAAATGTTGTTAAGTACATATTTTCTGCAAGGGCTTAATTATATGATAACAATGATAACAATAAATTATTACTAGTTAATACTTATTAACTATATAACTTATAAAACTATTAACTACATTTGTCAAAAACCTTACACTAGGAATTTTCATGGTTAAAATTACATAAGAACAATAAGAACCATAAGAGTTAATACATAACTCATTTAGCTTAATACCAATAATTGTATCAATTGTGTAACAAAAATATAATAGATTTTATATCTTTAATAGAAAAGGAATCTTTTGAATACTTTAACGCTATTCCATAAACTAAAAAATTTAAGATCTGTATAAATTAATCAAAGATAAGATAATATTGTATTTGTTTGTTATAAAAACTAATACTAATATTTATTATCAATGGAATAACTCTATTTTAGTGTTTCATACATTATGACAATGGTCAATAATCTGAATGATAATAATTTATTCTTTAGAGAACTATCTGAAAAATATTGTTAATAGAACCAACTACAAATAGTAAATTATGATAATGTGAACATTTTTAATTCATCTGTGAAAATATAAATTGAATTTCATTAGACTAAAATCATCAAAATTTCTTAATTACATTAAAGACACCTTGATTAAAGTAAATATTTAAGTTAAAAATATTCATTAGATACCTAGGACGATAATTACATTAAACAAGTTAAGAATGCACTATTTAAAAAAAAAATTGTTTAAAATATATGTACATACTCTTTGCAAACTTTAAATTTAATAATAAACATTATGTAAATGTGCTGTTAAAATATTATATAATTTTTTTTTTATATTCAACATACAACTGATAAAAAATTAATAATTCAATTTGTTATTAAATTATCTTTCTATTACTCAGCTTGAAAACGTTGAATTTACTATTAAAAATAAAAACTTTGTTAATAGTTTTAAAATGTACTCATTGTACATTGCATATGTTTCAAAAATTTAAAAAAACATATTAGAGTTCAATATGTGATATTCTTAACAAAAATAAGAATATCTTAGAGTATATTACATACTATGTTGTAATGTTTATTAAAAATTTTATAAAATATGACATAATAATATATTATCACAATTTGGAGTAGTTATAATTAAAAAAATAAATAAAATTCACAAAGGTTTCAAATGATGAAATTTTATTTTTTATACATAGAAACGCATGTATCAAACAATTTGATAATTATATAATAATAACTAATTACATAACAATACTAAAATACAAATATTTATATCATAAAATATAGTTAAGAATTTAATAAAAATAAATAATGCATTTTTTATAAATTTAGAAAATATATGTATATTTTCATTCAAATTGTATTAATTTTAAAAAATGCATATGCCTATAAGATTCATATTATACCTACTCCTACTTACATGAGAAAGAAATTTTAATCTAAAAATATAAATACCTAATAGAAAAAATGATGTAGGTACTGATTTATTATCTTTTTACTATAAGTAGCAAAAATTATTCATTTATTTACTTCTATGCTCGCTTATCTAAAATGATGGTACAAAGACTTACTTTGCTTTTGGAATATCATCAGGAACTTCCTTAATTTTTTCATGTACAGACAGTATTTCAGATAGCAGTAAATCAAACCATGCAATTTTCTATAATAAAAAATATTTAAATAGGACAATTTCCTTTTTTTTCTAAGACCACGATTATTAATATATAATGTTTCACTATCCAAAAAATCGCACAGTGTTCAAGAAAACATTAAATATTATAGTACAATTTTTGTACTTACAAAATCATTTTTAAGTGCATTTTCCACAATAGTGTTACATTTCAAATAAGCCTCCCAGAAAATAAGTATTTTTGAAGGTTTTATAGGTGCTGAATGATCCATAGGTTTGCAATTACTGTGAAAATCTGTAGAATAATAATTAACAAAATTTTAATACATTGGACCGACACTATAGCAAACGTGGTGTGCCCACTCACTGAAGTATAAGAAACAACCTGAGGATGCGTTTAAAAAAAATTATCAATGCAAGTATGACCGCCAACCGGTCTTGGACTCTTACATACAAACATTATTATAATATCAATAATTGACAATTATCACAACATACCTAATCGAGACGACCGACGGGACATCGAAAAATATAATATGTAAAATTCCAGTTATTTGTGCGCACTATCACCCATCAGTCATCACGTGACCAAGGTTTTATCAAAACTTTAAACTACCGTCTACCGTCTACAATCACGGAATACTAATGAGTATTGAGTAATGATCTCTGGAGCTGCCGCTCTCGTCTCGTTCTCGCATTATTTTTCGCCCGAATATATCGATATTATTGTAATCAACACAAAATCGATTTATCGACGTGTTTAATCGGGTTATAACGTAAAATGTTATGTTACGATAACCTGCCACCACCAGCTTGTAGACGGCGGTCTAATTATTTTTATTTATTAAAATAAATGTAATTGGTTCCTGATGTACCTATAATCTGTACAAAATCTATCATAGGTTTATAGTCCAGTTTGTCAATATACAATATGTATAATAATATTATTTCATTCTACAATTTATTATGGACTAAAGTTATTATAACTTATAACTTAAAAATATAAATTCCTCATTTCTAAAAAAATGAATTACATATTTTTTTTTTCATGTTTAAAATAAAATAAACACGTTATACATTTTATAAATAAATTATAAAATATATATATTATGTATACGGTAGGTGCCCAAGTCAATAATAAATACACTACACAACATCTTTATTGATTAAATAATGAATATTATGCCTACTACAAAAAAACCTCATTTAAAAAAATTGTTATTGTAATTTTACGAATTTAATGCAATTTTATCTATTTATGGTCACGCACGGGCTACGAAGACATCTATGAATTATAACTAAATATCAATACTTATATATGGCTTTAGAACAGAGGTCAAAATGAAATACAAAGTACGAATGTACAACGATATGGAAACCTTATATTAATAATCATACCTATATAGTGTACTTGTGTAATGTGTTCATATTATTTGATACTTACATTTAATATTCTGCAATATCCTAATCGGTAAATACATGTATGTTATGTAATAACAAGTAATTTAATATAATTAACAAAATATAAATAAATTAAATAAATATCAAACTCATACGTAGGTAAACTTTATCTGTATCTAAGGCAGTAGTTTAATGTTTCCTAGATGACTTGAATTACTTATGGTGACACTATAAAAATTTAATATTTTTTTTTTTAACCAAATAAGACATTACTAGCCCATATACGTAATAAATACAAATAAATAAATGTATGACTATTTAACATGATTATAATTAAATAATAATAGCTAAATACAAGACATTATATAAATATAAAATAATGTATAATAGACAATAAGTGCAAAGGAGAATTAAATTAAGACATTTATAAATTATAACAATTTATTGAAGCATTACGATAATGTGAATTTAACACAATATGTTAAATATTCATGAGCTTATTAATTAATGAGTAGGTATCGTTTTAGGTTCTAGCAATAAATATCGAGTTTCATTATTTATCATTATCACGAACTGCAAAGAGAAGTCACATACATTGAATACTAAAAGCTCGTCTTAGAAATAGTACTTATTTCAGACCAAAATACTTAATAAAATAATTTGTCTATTTTATATTATACCTCCTAACATTAGGAGAATTTAAGTTTTTCAGTTATTCGTTAAATTATAAAAAAATAAAGAAATTAAATTTGTTAAAAACTGATTTAACATAAACCATTTTCCTTGATTCTTTGTTTTTCATATAATTATTAAATTTTTTTTATTTTTGAACCCCCTCTCACTTCAAAGTATAAATTCAATTAAATTTGCTATCAGAAACAACCAAAGTTGAAAATCAAAACATTTTTGTTTTCGTCAACAATTTGTGTACATGAATATACAGTTAACAATAATATTGTAGTGTTTTTAATAGATCGTTAATCGTAATACGTCACTTATAGCTATCACAGATTGAATAGATAATACCGAATATACCGCATAAACGTCTTGAACCTTGTAATCCATAGCCCATAGGTAATTAAATATAAAATATAATAAATATATAGGTAGGTACATGATATTCTAATACGTCTAATTACATTAAAATAAAGTAAAAAGCACAATAATTATACAAACACTAACAAGTAACAATACGCAGTTGTCTTTAAATAAGTCAAGGTAAACAAACACAAAGATTATAATTTAAATATATCTAAAGGTATTACTATAACTATATGTATATAATGTATATATATATATGAATATAAACTTTATAAGCATGGAAAACAGGAAAATGAGATATACCGCTTAATATACCTACGTAATAATAGATACCATTGATTTTATTATAAAAATAATAATAATTACGTCTATATTATGTTGTATGCTAATTAGTAATTAGTAGGTACTTAATAATAATATCGATTTTTATGTAGGTTCGTAAACAAATGTTATTTTATCGATAATACCTACAATAAAAACTGTAATGTAGAATTCAATTTTTTAAGATGACGTCGTTCCCCCCGCCCTCATCATATGCTGTCTTCGTCTTATTAATGTACGGTCTAGATAACATATTTACCTTTAAATTGAATGATGGGTAAATTTACTTTTAAAGCAAACAACATAAAATAAATTCTGCTGAACTCAAATTTGCTACCGCATACGTACTAATCAAACGAAGACAACACATGTGGCCCATATAGTGTGAACGACATCCTCTAACCTCTTAAAGATTTAATTGTAAAGTAATAAAAAAAGAAATTGAAAATTAACTTTTAAACATCACTATATTTTTATTTTAATGAAAATTAAACTTCACTTCGATATTTGCTGTTCTCTGTGGAGTTATGACCTATAATCATAATTTTGATAACATAGCACCATACGATTTTTAAAATTTTGGGTGTGACGCTGGCGTTAAAATAAGTTTAAAACTGAATAAAATAAAAATCTTAGTTTAAAAATATTCAACTTAAAATAATTCTGCAAAAAACACTCAAAAAAGATTTTCGATTCCACTCTGATTTTCATTAGCAAAATTATTCTTAACGTATCTTTGGAACACTCTGTATAATATATTTATACAAATTATATTACATAGTATTAATTGTTTTAATTCATCTTTTACAAAAATAAAATGATTGTTAGATATATACAAATCCCATTGTAGTGGCTAGTATGCTAAGCCCCCTCCCCAACAATAAATAAATACTAACAATGTTACCTCAATACCTATATATGATCAGAAATCAGAATAAAGTATATTTTAATTAATGCACATTTTAGAAATATACTTTTGGGGTTTGGGAAATCGTATAAAAATGTTTTCCTATTTTCATCATTATTAACATAAGAGTTAGATTTTTTAACCTACATACTCGTAATTATAATCTATAATCTATAGTACGAGTTGTGGAGTACCTAATTATATAGTTTTATCCATTCTGCATTCCATTTACTTATTATTATTATTATGTAAGTATTAATAATAGATACTACCATCTATTAATATACATGCAGACCATACGTTTCCATTTTCTACAATGAATGAATTATAAAATGTGTAATAATAAGACGTTAAACTCGAGAGATAAGATTTTTACGCATTGACCTCCATAAATAAACAATAGTGTAAAACACGTCGGACGTCTTCCAAGAATCGTCAAAACGTACTAAATAAATGATTTATAAATGAAGTCAGAATATTATAAATTAATATTTAATAGTAATAATAAGCTACCAACACTTATAATATATAACATATATAATACGTTTAGTATGTATAACCAATGCATAATAAGAGCCACATATTATTAAAAAAAATAAAAACCATATGACCATTACCATTCCTAATTATAAGTAATAAGCAATAATATTTACTATCTGCCTAGTAGGTACATAATACAATAATTAGTGTTTATAATCTCAAATTTCAAATATCTTCTAATTGGTAAGTAATTAACAAAATATGTATTCTCATGTCAAAAGGTCATAAAATTACTCATACATCAACATCAAATACGTATAAAACAATCTCTTATAAATTAAATTAATAATAAACTATATCATAAGTTATAACTTATAAGTGTTATATTATAATTTATAACCAATGACTATTCTCCATAGTACATCAGTACATAATATAACTCAAGACTTTTAAGATAATCTTAGTTCTTAAGAACTCTTATAAGTTATAATTAAAAGTATGAATCATATTTAATCAAAGACCACCAAAGTCACAAGTCATATTTCTCATATTTTTAGAAAATGCATTGTTATTAACTTGAATGTTCTTTATATTGGTGGTTCATGGGATATATTACCGAGTATTCTCGACTTTTAATCTTCCAACTGCCGAAACGTCAGACATCAATAATATTATTTTTAGATAACTAATAATTAACTAGGTATAATAAATTAAAATAATAATATAATAGTAAAATGTCATCAATAAAATATAATAATTTTACATTCAAATTTTAACTTAATCATGGCTTAAATTAAATTTTAATATGATCATTTAAAAATATACTCATAAAGTTGAACTATTTAAAATTGTATGCAAGGCTTGCACTACTGTCTACTTATAAACATGTCATGCCAGTACGCCACTAGTCACTGATGTATAAAAAATTCATTTTTGTATTTTTATATGAATTAAAATAATAAACATTTAGTTATATTTATACCACTAATAAATCATAATATTTTTCAAATTTTATTTTCAACCATCCCAACACAATTAACACTTGTAAATAGTTATCGAACTACGAGCTACAGGCTATCCTACGTATATAATGATAGATTAAGTTATAAGCTCTATGAGGAGGTGACGATTGGTTGGTCCGGGTTTCCGATCGTTCCGGGAGTGTTTTCCACTTCCTATACCGTGGCCTCAGTGGGGAACGGGCTCAAAGCTTTCTATGGGCATGGTTCGGAGTTTGCAGGTGTGGTTGTTATGGGTGCCAGGTGAGGGGGGTGTCTCAACCAGCTTGAACAAATTTCGGTGATCCCTCATCCTTTGTGTGTTCCCCAATTGCCAGAGTT